CGCCGCCTTACACCTTCAAACCAAATTTCATCAAAATCGTACAAAAATTATTCAAGTTATCGTGTTCACAGACATATATAAATAAATAAATATATATATATATTAGGGATGGACGGGTCCCGAAATTTCGGGAATTTTTCGGGAAAAAAATATTCCCGATTATCGGGACGGGATTACATTTTAATCGGGAATTTTTCGGGACGGGATTTGGTCCGTTCGTCGGCGATTTTGCCGCTTCGCTAGTGCCGATGACGCCGCTATTGCGAGCGATAGGTCCGCGAACGCAGGAGACGAAGTCATTTCGACGATCACGCCGTGACCGCGGAGTCCTACCGACGATCACCCCGTGACCGCGGAGTCATACCGAAGATCGCGCCGTGACCGTGGAGTCCTACCGACGATCGCGCCGTGACCGTGGAGTCCTACCGACGATCGCGCCGTGACCGTGGAATCCTACTGACGATCGCGCCGTGACCGCGAGTCATACCAACGATCGCGCCGTGACCGCGGAGTCCTACCGACGATCGTGCCGTGACCATGGAGTCCTACCGACGATCGCGCCGTGACCGCGGAGACATGCCGACGATCATGCCGTGACCGCGAGTCATACCGGCGATCACCCCGTGACCGCGGAGTAATACCGACGATCGCGCCGTGACCGTGGAGTCCTACCGACGATCGCGCCGTGACCGTGGAGTCCTACCGACGATCACGCTGTGACCGCGAGTCATACCGACGATCACGACGTGACCGCGGAGTCATACCGACGATCACGACGTGACCGTGGAGTCCCACCGACGATCGCGCCGTGAGCATGAGTCATACTGACGATCATGCCGTGACCGCGAGTCCTACCGACGATCACCCCGTGACCGCGGAGTCATACCGAAGATCGCGCCGTGACCGTGGAGTCCTACCGACGATCGCGCCGTGACCGTGGAGTCCTACCGACGATCGCGCCGTGACCGTGGAATCCTACTGACGATCTCACCGTGACCGCGAGTCACAAGTTTCTATAGGTACCTGTATATTGTTACCCATTTTTTTGGTTTTTATAGATCAGTACCACAAACGGTAAAAATTGATTTTGTATGTCTTTTTTTGGCAACTGCAATACTCAAGACTTTAATGCACAGGAAAAATCCCGTCCCGTCCCGTCCCGAAAATCGGGAAGGAAATAAAAATCCCGTCCCGTCCCGTCCCGAACTAAAAATTCAATCCCGTCCATCCCTAATATATATATATAAATTTGAACGTATGGTGTTTTTGGCCTCTGGAGACATCAAAATGAAAAAGTAAATTGGTCCCGGGCCTAGGTCTTACCATGCCACCTACGGTAATAGCTACTTCCCTGTGGGCAATTCGCTAAAAAAACACCACAGATAGGGGATAAAACTATGGGTTATTGGTGATGATTTGACAAACTACTGTTAGAAATGTTAGAGCTATAAAGGAGCAAAATATTAGGACAACAGAGAATAAATTCAGCATCTGGGGCAAGGCTACTCAGTAGTAAAATATTGTTGGAGATGGGATATTTTTCTAAATAAAGGATACACTTTATACCTTGACAATCTTTTCACAACAAATATATTGGCTAGAATTTTGTATGAAAACATGACATGGATGACTGGCACAGTTTCTTACAGACAGAAAAGGAGTACCAAAGAAGTTATTGGGCAAGTTCCCTGTAGGGAACTACTTTTTTTATTCATAGCTTTCAGCAAAAAGACAACCAACAGAACTCAATTTATTTTACCATCCGTTAATGCACGAGCCAAGATTGTACGTTAGAAGAGGAGGAAATCTTTTGGTCAAGTGCATACCCCACAGGTCAACAGGCTGTAGTAGCTGGGAGTAGATAATACCATAAACCCCACCCAAAAAAAAAACAAAAAAAATATACCCCTGGCAATCCTGCAGACTAAACAAATTTCAACTTGTCTGATTACATTTTTCCAAAAATATTTCCATAAATAAGACATATTTATTCCCTATCTATATATTAATTTGAAACTGTTTTTCTTTGTGACAGCTAATTTGAGAGAACGGCTGAGTTTAGAAACTCGGTAGGGGTCTCTAAAGAAAGGTCTTGGTCTGTAGATGAGCCATCAAAAGAGAAGCGTGGTAAATTCCCTTGGGGCTCTGCCCCAGTGGCCTTTAAAGTTCCCTCTTCAGATTTGTTTACATTACGACCATATGCATACATTTACACTACTTTTGAATGAAACAGCTGTTAATATTTAAATTGTGATTTACTAAATTTGACAAAATCAATGGGTTTTTTCTGATTTTAAAATTGATTTTCTTCTGAATCGTTCCATGTTTTGCAATATAATTTTATATTACCAAATCAGTGGAAAATCCTAATATCACAGTAACTCTTAAAATTATTTCTTATGGAGCTAGCTTATATCTATTGTGTGGGTTGGTTTCTGCCTTTTTTACCACTTCTTGGAGATTGCACGTAGACGATATTCTTTGGCGTATTGCATCTGTAGTAGACGATACTTGGTTGGTGTAATTTTTAAAATTACAATGGCAAAAAGTGAGAAATACTGGACAATTTGTTATACTAAAAATAAAACTGAATTAACACTGTGCTACATTTCTTGAGCAATAATTGAAAGAGCCGATTTGCAAACAATGGAAACAGGAAAGTCATAGAACACAACCAAGTACAGTAGAAGAAATAGAAATAATGTTTTTTTTTTCATTTATAATCGTTATTATAGACAACCTAATGCGGCTATGAGTGGGGAAAATTTGTAGAAAACACTAAAAAACAAGGTCAGCTTTTGAAAAAAGATAAGATATTTACAAAAAATTTTGATTATATCTAACTGCTGTGTACATCTTGAGTATTTCCAATATTTCCATAATCTTTGAGTCGACTCTTATAAAGTCATCGGAAATTATGACTGTTATTTGTTTTAACATAACGCCTGTAATGATTCGCAATTGAGGTACACTAGTCTATATACAGTAGAACCCCTCATATCCGGCCTTGGTTTTACCGGTCCTCTGTTTATCCGGCCTCTTCCAGGAAGTCAATATCAAAATTTTTTCTCACAGATTACAGACGTTTAGATGCAAGCACTACCTAGTCTTTGTGACTGCTCAAGTCATCAAACAAATTGTTCTCATTATTTATCTGTTTGTTTATACATTTATTTGCTGAGTCACTATATACTAACCTCTGAGCCCTAACCTCTGATCAGTTGGTTGATTATTTCCAAAGCGGGGTTAGTACAGTACAGTACCTACATTAATCTTTGTATTTCACAAAATGGATAAGAATGTAAAGTTGAAATGCATGTACCATTTAAGTCCTATAACGATCTTCAAGTCCAATTTATTGTCATTTTTACCACCATTTAATACCTTTTGTTACCTGGAATCATCATATTTGTACTGTACGTGCTTCATTGCTTAACAACTTTAACCTACAAATAATTTGTTGTCTTTTTACAAACTTTTTTTATTTTATTTTTAATCCCAGAACAGACTGGAATGATACTTTTGACTGCATATTTTGATTACCTATTATGAATTGTAATTTTCATAGTAGGTTGGTTTATCCGGCCAAATCGTTATCCGGCCAGGGGCTTGGTCCCATGGTGGCCGGATATGAGGGGCTCTACTGTATAAAGCCAAAAGTACCCATGAACTTTTGAGAAAACTACAAGTCACACCCCCATAAACCATATACTTAAAATGTTCGTCATGACGAGAAACCTTGCGCAAAACTATCCATTGTTTCATAAATTGACCTTTAAGATCGTAATTCCTTTCTAAAGGGAACTTTCCATATACCTAATGTTTAATACCTCAGCTGTATTTATTTGTTTGTATTACTGTACCTATTCTATTTGGTTTATTTCAGCTTAACTTAACCAATCAATAATTTTATTAATACTTATGAAGTCAAACGGGGTAAAGCCCGTGGGTAACAGCATAGACTAACCAACACAAGTAGACTTCTCATCCCATTGTAAATTTTGAAGCACGTTTTTCGTATCTAGTTCATGTACGTGACACATGGGCGCTAGTGTCGACGAAACTTTGTTTCTATTATTTTAGGGTTAATTTCTTGATTTGTGCTTTACTGTTTGGTTATATAACTAGGGGACAGGTTATTGTTTATGATTAGATCGTATTATTTGGTTAAACGAGGTTTTAAATGGCTGTAATAACGGGAAACAAATTGTAAACAAAACACGACCTCTACAGAAAACCGTACAGAACTAACAATAAAATTGTCTTCAGCTGTTCCATAAGGATGAGAAATCTACTAAGGGAGTATGTTTTATCTATGGTAACAGCTAGTTCAAATAACATCAGATTTAATGAGTGCTGAGGTTTGCTGCTACAGGGAAGCTAAAAAGTGTTTTTTGACCATACGTCAATAGTATAGAATGAAATAATTAAATTTGCCAAATGTTATCAATATATATTCATAAACAAGTAAACTACAACAATTTTCATTTTCTCCATAAGAATAACATGGGAATTTTAAATTACACTATTTTAGAATTTTCTCTGTGACCATTAGGCATACAACAGCGCTTCAAAATACTAAATTATTTCTTTTTTTAAGCTCTACAAAACGGTTTGAAAAGAAATTGCAAAATTTGTTGTTTTTAGGTTCAAAAATGGAAAAACCCCATTTTTACCCTTTAAAACCCCCCATAAACCCCCCTTTCCATGGTCCGATTATGCTGGATCGCGAACTCGTTTGAATAAACGTAGGTTTACACGTTTGTACCAAATTTTATCAAAATTGGATCATTTTTGCTTGAGTTATCGATCGCGCTAAAGGACACATATATATATATATGTATAAATTAATTCATAAATTCGCTAAAAAAACATTTAACACCTGTTCCATTGAACCGATCTTGCTGGTTTGCGAGCTAATTAAGGTTTATCCAGCTCTAGACATTCATGTCAAATTTCATCAAAATCGGACCAAAATTACTTAAGTTAAGTTATTATACCTGCAAAAAGTCTTTGCCTCCTTTTCTTTCTAAGGCCTGGCCTACTTCTCCCATCATGGCTAGAATTGCATTAGTTGGATGGACTAAAGCCTCAGCTGTCATGCCAGTGATGTCCCCTTGCACCAAAGTCAGCTGTCAACAAAGTGCAAGTTGGAACAATCTTTTGAAGTCAAAGTTTTGATTCAACTACAGTTATAAATAAAAGTTAAATAGTTGAAGTTGAAGTAAAAATTTAACCCTTCCAGGGCTATGGACGGATATATCCGTCAATCTCTGTTTACTTTCCGGGCTGAAAACGGATATATCCGTCCCGAGAAATTTCTTTTCTGGGATAAAGACGGATATATCCGTCCAAAAAGCGAATTCAATTGATACACAATGTTTATAATACGCTAATAAACATTACACTGCATTACAAATGGGTTATTTTGTTTTTGTGGTTGGCAATAATAATTGCCGCAGCTGTTTCGGCTATTTTGCACCATAGAGTGTGCCTAAGTAAATATTGCTGTCACTTCACACATGGTTGTAAGTGAGTGATGTTTACATTTTGTAACATAACAAATACAAACAAGAGACAAGATTTTTTTTCTGGTTGTCCAGAAGGTAACTAAACCTGAGACATGAGGATATGGAAGGTATCCACCACGAACGGATATGGAAGGGATCATGATACGACTGTTAATAACAAAAAAAAACCTTCTAGTGACCTAAAAACTGCTTCTAAATGTTTAAGGTTTAGTTTTTTACAATCACTATATTTTGGAATTAGCACGCTGGGTTCGTAAAAACCTGTTCACTGTATATATATAATTTGAACGGATAGTGTTTTTGGCCGCTAGGGACCTCAAAACAAAAAAATATATCGGTCCCAGGTCCAGGTCTTATCATGAGTACTACGGTAATAGCTTATTCCCTAAATGGGAAATTGGCTAAAATCAAAAAATGGATGATCCTACAAAAAATCATGGCTGTTCAAAATTATGATATGCTGCATGTTAAATGAGCCTTATTCAAAGTTTATTTTTACATGTTTCATGTATTTTAATAGAGGAAGGATTTAGGCTACTTCTTTATAATATTAAACAATTTGCAGAGTTTAGCTTGTAATACATAGAACATGTAAAAATAAATTAAACTTAGAACATTGAAATTTTGATCTGATGAATCAAATCAGGATCCAATTTAGCATGCATCGAAATCACGATGCATCAAATTGGAACAGATGCATCAATTACGTCCTGATGCATATATACTGTAAAACAAATTTAAACCTCTAAAATGAATTTTAGTTAGGGATGTGTCGATTATTGATACCACTGATACTTGGACATGGGTATCGGAATCAAGACTAGATTGCAAAAAGTCGATTCCGATAACGAAACCCAACATTTATTTTTACTTTATTTACTTTATAGCTACAGTATTAGTTTTGTAATCACGGCTAACAACTTAAGTAGCCAACTTAGAAACTATTTAGTTAAAAACAGCTGCGGTGCCTTTGTTTAGCTTCAGCTGTTCTCTCTGCAGATGATATAGCACAACACAATCTACATTTTCAAGATGCCAGACAGTCAGGTCAGACTCAGACAACCCACACGCGTATGTCCTGCCAAAACAAAATTAATTATACTAAACAATGCTGTATCATTCAGTCACACCTTTAGATGTATTTTTTAAATTTTTATTTTTAGTACAAAATAAATAGGTAACCTAATCATTTTGAAACGTTCAGTTTCATTACGCATCATTAGAAAAATTAGATTCAACTTCAACATTGTCACAAGGTTATGCCGGGAGGCCTTATTCCTTATTGTGCCAAAAAGTAGATCCATATTTTATATGTACTATCTACCTAGTTGAGGAGTTTAGTGAAGTTATGAGTGCTACTATAAAATAGTGCATTGCATCGGCAGCATAATCCTGAAATCTCACCTAAGGTTATCATCTTTATCTACGATCACTGCAAAATCCTAAATATCTTCCGAAGTTGTATATTTTGTCGGTCTAGGAAAATTATCATCCTCATCTGCGATCATGGCAAAATCCTGAACATATCGCGCGTTTTGTAGATTATTATCGTCGTCTCCCACTATAGTCTTCTGCGATCACGGCGAATTTAGTTATTCATGGCTGAAATTAAAATCCCGGAATGGCTTCAAAAATCCCACATTATCCCCTGTTTTTTTCTGGGTCTCTATTTTAGTTCAAGGATTTTACCGGTTTCCTCTGTTGGTATACACTCTGTAAGTGGTTTAAGGGAAGATAACAATCTAGTGTGGAGCCTAGAATATATGGATCTCCAGAGCCCCAGGTCTGTTACAGCGGATCTAAAGCTAAACTAGTTGTAAAAGAAAACGGTGAAAGCTGTTAAAATTTTGTTGTTGAACCTACACTTTTTCATTCAAGTAGCATTCCTTCTCTGCTATCAATGCCTTTCTCTGGAAAATTTAATGAATATTGCTTTTACACTCAGTGCGCTTTTAGTCTGAGCCGTGATAATTAAAATAGAAAAGCTTCCTAATTCCTGACCATTCATTGAGGTATGAAAAATAAACCGTTCTTCTAATGAAATGACATGTGATTTAGTAATTATTTTTATGTTTACTCATATGACTATGGTTACCAGAGGTTACTATGTTGTTAACTTGTTTTTAATTTTAAGTTAGTTGAATGTTGAATAAAAGTTCTTAGAAGAAATAGTTTTATTCTATCTTTACATGGTGGCAGCGTTTAGGCTGAAGAAGAATATTTTACAATGGAATTGACACCAGAAGTACTGAAAGATATTTTAAACTCTGTTCTGAATACGAAAATGAGCGAAGAAGCTAAATCTAGGCAAGAACCTATGTATCAGGTCAAACCTCCTGATCCTTTTAACTTCCAAGATCCAGCAACATGGCTAAACTGGATAAAAGTATTTGGAATGTTCCGTAAAGCTACTGGGTTGGCTTTAAAATCTGATGATCAGCAGGTGAACATGTTACTGTACTGCATGGGCCAAGAAGCTGACGAACTTTTAACGTCACTAGGCATGTCTAAGGAAAAAAGGGTTTCATTTGATATGGTAGTGAAAACTTTTGATGATTATTTTTGTACCAAGAAGAATATATTTTAACCATCGAGCTATGTTTCTACAGAAAGACCAATGTCCAGGCGAGAAGGTTGATTCTTACATAATGATTTACATCAAATATCAGAGAAATGTGAATGGTCATGCAGCAATTGTAAGAGTAGACATTTTAATGATGAAATGATACCTCATAAGCTTGTTACAGGAATGTCTAATAAGAGTTTATCCAAACACCTACAATTAAAAGATGGGATAACGTTGACTGGGGCAGTTCAAGCGGCACGGCAAGCAGAAGTGATGGAACAACAGGCTGCTGACTCGGAAGTGATAAGCGAAACATCAGTCATGGAAACAAGAAAGACGTTTTCATCAAGGTTTGGTAAAACCAGCGACACACAGCAGTTTGGTAAGGCCTCAGCATTTAATCACAATAGTCAGAAATTTAGTCGGTATGGTTCAAATCAAATCAGTTTCATTCCAAGGAAAAGTGTCTGGCAGTTGATAAAGTTTTTGTTTCAAATGCGGATTAAAGGGCCATTTTAGTCGGGCATGTAAACGTAAAAGTTTCAATTTAGTAGATCAAGAGGTTAAATCTGAACCATCATCTAGGAAAGTTTATCCATTTGCTTTAAGTTCTGTTACGATTTATGAAAGGGTACCAAATATAAGTTAGTCCCAGCCATTTTATGTATAACTTTTGGTTAATGAGACAGATTATCTTAACTTCCAAATTAACACTGGTGCTGATGTCAGCTGTATTGGCATTCAACATGCACAGATTTTCAATCTTAAGATTGAAAAAAACTAGTATCAAGTTGAAAGGTCCTGATTTTATACCACTTAAAGTAATTGGTAAGTCAATCGTTAGCTTAAAGAAAGATGATATAGATCATATGGAGGAAGTGTTCATTCTAAGCAGCCAGAAAGAGCCCCTCTTAGGGAGGACAGGGATATTAGCATTTTCATTGCTTAAGGACATTAGTGAAGTGAGTTTAAGAAACGAGTGGGAAGCAAAATATCCAAAGCTTTTTTCAGGTGTAGGGAGGTTTACCGAGCCCTATACGATCATGTTAAAAACTGATTATAACCCAGTTTCTATTGAGACGCCACGAAGGATCGCTATATCGTTCAGGGATAAAGTTAAGATTGAGCTTGGTAAATTGGTAAAAGCTGATGTGATAGCACCTGTCACAGAACCAACAGAGTGGTGCTCTCCCTTGCTTGTTGTACCTAAAAAGTCCGGCTCAGTAAGGTTGTGTGTTGATTTTACAGAGCTCATCAAATATGTAGAGAGAGAAAGACTTATTTTGCCATCTGTGGATGAGACCTTAGCTCAGATGGCAGGAGCAAAAATATTTTTGAAACTTGACACGAACAGTGGTTTCTGGCAAGTAGGCCTTGACAGTGAAAGTGCCAAGTTGACAATTTTTATAACGCCTTTTGGTAGATTTTATTTCAAGCGTTTACCTTTAGGGATCAGCTCAGCTCCTGAACATTTTCAAAGGAAAATGTTTGCATGTTTGGAAGGTTATGTGTAGTAAATTTAACTGATGACATATGTGTGTTTGGTAGTACAAAGGAAGAACACGACAAAAGACTTAACAGTGTTCTCTCTCGTCTGTGTGAAACAGGTATCACTTTGAATCGTGAGAAGTGTGTGTTTGCAAATACAAAGATAACTTTCTTGGGACATTTTATTGAAAATGGCCAGCTTATGCCAGACTCGGAAAAGACTAGGGGTCTGCAGGTCCCCGATTTTTTTCGGGTCGGGTCGGGCCAGCGTAAGACCCGAGAGACCGGGTCGGGTCAGAGATTTGTTCGGGCCAAGATCGGGTCGGGCCAAAAAAATAATAATTAGCCTATTTTCAAAGTTATAATAAGTTATTTTCAAAGAAACACTCTTTTATATATATATATATATATATATATATATATATATATATATATATATATATATATTATTACAGAGGAATTAAAACGTTAAAATTAGAATTAAATATTAAGTTTGCTCACGTTTAAGAACGAAGACACAACAGAGCAATTGCCGTACTTTCACTAG